TCGGGGTCGAGGGCTCGAAATGTCCGCTCGGGCCCACTATCTGGGCCCCCCTCTTGGAGCCGTCTTTGGAGCCTCTTGGGCCGTCTTGGGCGCCCTGTTGGGCCGTCTTGGGACGCTTTTGGGCGGTTTTGGGGCTCTTGGAGCCTCTTGGGGCAATGTTGGGAACCTCCAGGGCCGTCTGGGTGCTTCGGGAAGCCGGAAGGGCGAGAACATCAAACATTTCCAAATACCGATCGACAATAAATGATGTTGGCCCTTTGGGGGGGCCTCTTGGAGGCCTCTCGGGGCGTCTTGGAGGCCTCTTGGGCCGTTTGGGGGCTACGTTGGGCGTCTTGGAGCGATAACTCGGCGACTCGGGGACTTCTTGGGCCGTCTCTAGGGCCTCTCGAGACCCTCTTGGCCAGTCTCGTGGTTGTGCGGGCCAGAAAAAGTCACGCCACAAGATGCGCCAGGCCCAAGGGTGCACGCGACAAGCCCCGATGGATTTGGCAATTTTGGCCCCGGGCCCTCTAAACCTGTAAGATCGAGGAGTGAGGTCCGGGGGACTGGACAAAAGAACTGAGGACGCGCCCGCTCCGTGCCCAACGGCGCGGTGGCAGACCAAACAAGTCTTCAGGGAATGAGGCCGGGAAGGATCTGCAGTCATTCTCGAGACTCCCGTTCGAGATTCCCGCTCGAGATTCAGGTCTCAGGGACCTAGAAGAGACAACAGTTGACAAGTGTTTAGGGTGGCCGCCTCGGATTACGAGCACGAAGTGCGGGCCCCAGAAGGGAGGAGGCTCCCGCTCGGGACTTTTCCGCGAATCAATCACAGACGGGGTTCGTTCTCGAGACTTCCTCAAGATGAGTGTCTGTATATGTGTGTGTGTGTGTGTCTGTGTGTGAAGGCGCGTGGGAGCATGTGCGTGAGTGCGTGAGTTTGTGTGTGATATGGATGTGTGAGACGATGCTAACAGTGATGATGATGATGATGATGATGATGATGATGGTGATGATGATACTGACGATGATGAAACGAGTCTAGAAGTCTTGGTGATGATGCTTAGGATGATGAGGATGATGCTGATGATGATGACGATGATGATGATGCTGATGACGATGATGATGATGATGATGATGATGATGATGATGATGATGATGATGTTGATGATGACGACGACGACGATGACGACGACGATGATGATGATGATGTTGATGATGATGGTGATGATGACGATGATAATGATGGTGATGATGATTATTATGATGATGCTGATGATGCTGGTGATGGTGATGGTGATGGTGATGATGATGATGATGATGCTGATGCTGATAATGATGGTGATGATGATGCTGATGATGATGATGATGATGGTGGTGGTGGTGGTGGTGGTGATGATGATGATGGTGGTGGTGGTGGTGGCTGTGGTGGTGATGATGGTGGTGGTGATGATTATGTTGATGTGGGGGGTGCTCGTGATCCTTCGTGTTCCTGCGCGTGGCTGTCCAGAGAAATCAAGACCCCACGTTGGATGTGAAGCAACAAACACAGCCCAAACGACGAACCTTAGATAATATTTGTGCTCCTCCTCCTCCTACCGCTGCTCCTGATCCCTCTTTTCCTCCTGCAGGATCAAGGAGGCAGGCGTTTGGGCGCTTGGGGGTCCTTTCCTTTTTACGCCCCGGAAGCCACCTGGAAGCTCCGAAGGCCTCCAGGCCTGAGCAGAAGGAGTCAGCCTCATGGCATCAGCTCTCGGGCTGAAGGGATCTATCTGGTGCTGCCCCATCCACCCGATGCGAATTCTTGCCTCCTGCAGCCTCAGCACATGGAGTTCCTTGCCGGACAACCCCCGAGGCTGGTAGCTGGGTCGCCGAGAGGGCCAAGGCGAAGGGCGAGGCGGCTCGATCCGCGGAGTCGCCTGCCGCTCTGTCCTGAGAGGGCCGGCGCGCTCGCGATGCGGCCGCGGGCAGTTTTCCGAGCACGTCCCAAGCAGTGCGTGCGCGCGTGTGCCAATCTGCGCACGGGCTCGGCACGCTCATAGGCTAGCGACGGACGGCGCCAGGCGAGAGTGAGAAGAGACTCCTGGGCCCTGGGTGATCAGAGCACACAGTGATGCGTACTTGCTGTCGGAGGCGCTTCACCGGAGGCGTCAGAGAGGGGCGGCCATCAGCAGGCAGGTAACGCGGATCAGCGCAAACGGGGCTCAGGCAGAGCGTTGGGTTTCGCATGATCCTTAAGAGCCAGATTCGGACAGATCCGGGTTTGGAGCTGCTCGTGGCCCATCGAGGTGGCCTTGAAAATTGGTTGAGCCGGTTGTGGGAAGCACCAAGACAAATTCCGGCGCAGTTGTTTCTCAATTGGCGGAGCCCGGTTTTTTTTGATCCAGTTTGGTCCACGACCGAGGTCACAGGCTAGCAGCGATGCGTGTGCTCTGCAGTAGGAGGGAGCGGGGAGTGGGGGGAGTGTGAGGAGGAGGAAGGATTCAAACGGGACTCAATCAAAGCAGCTGCGTTGCGGCCAAGACGGCCCTTGCGCACTTTGCAGGCTGTACGGGTCCAGACGAAAACATTGGGACAATAGCAAAGGGGAGGTTGGACCCCGTGGGAGCATCCGATGACTGGGACGGGGCGGGGCCAGGCTCGCTCGACGGGCCAGTTCCGCTCAAGTCAGGCTGCCTACGACTTGGGGAGGGAGGATGGAGAGGGGAGATGGTTGATGGCGGGGAGGGGGGAGGATCATTGACAGAACTGCCAGGTCCACGAGCGGGTCGCCATTCTACCACGCCTTCGGGTTTGAGGTACGAGCTGACAGGGATGGGGGAGAAGGGAGGAATGGCACGTTAGCTATTAGGTGCGCTCGCGCCACGTCTGACATCCGATCCCTCCATCCCATCCCTTCCCACTGCGCTTATTGTTCTCTATCCGCGGACGCGTGTCATAGCCGACCTGGAACTCCATTACCCCAGCAAAGCAGCCTCCTAGCAGCAAAGGTGACCCGTGGAACCTGCGGGGCAGGTGGAAATTGTTGGACTTGTGCGATCTGTGGGACCTGTGGTACCCGTTGGACTTTGTGGCCTGTGGGGCAGGTGGGAACTGTGGACCTATGAGACCTACGAGACTTGTGGGACCTGTGCGACCTCGGGGACGTCTGTGGCCTGTGGGGCTTGTGTGACCTGCGACGCCTGTGCGACCTGCGGGAACTGTGGGTCCTTCGTGACCTGCGGGAACTGCGGGACCTGCGGGACCAGCGCTACCTGTGGCCTTTGTGGGACCCGGGGGACCTCGGACCTCTGTGGGACCTGTGAGACCTGCGTCATCTGTGGGTGGGACCTGTCGGACCTGTGGGATCTGCGGGACTAGCGATACCTGCGACACTTGTGGTACATGGAGGGCGTAGGCTCGATTCGCCCGAGTCTCGATTCGCCCGGCTCGATGGTCACGGCTCGATTCGCCCCAGCTCGAATCGCCCCGCTCGATTCGCCCGGCTCGATTCGCCCGGCTCGGTTCGCCAGAGTCTCGATTCGCCCGGCTCGATTCGCCTGGCTCGATTCGGCGAGTCTCGATTTGCCTTGCTCGATTCGCCCGGCTCGATTCGCCCGAGGCTCGATTCGCCCAGCTGGATTCGCCTGGCTTGATTCGCTTTGCTCGATTCGCCCGGCTCGATTCGCCCGAGGCTCGATTCGCCCAGCTTGATTCGCCAAGCTCGATTCGCCCCAGCTCGATTCGCTCCGCTCGATTCGCCCGAGTCTCGATTCGCCTGGCTTGAGCCCAGGCTCGATTCGCCCGGCTCGATTCGCCCGGCTCGATTCGCCCAGCTTCGCCCGCCCGACCCGACCCGCCTCTGGTCCACCTGCCCGACCCGACCCGCCCGTTAGGGTCCGTCCGACCCGCCCGTAAGGGTTCCCGCGTGCTGCGTTGATGGCGCGTCCCACTTTATTATCCCGCACGACCTGACCCGCCTGTTAGGGTCCGCCCGCCCAACCCGACCCGACCGTCAGGGTCCGCCCACCCGACCCGACCCGCGCGTGCTAATTCGATGATGCGTCATACTTTAGTGTCCCGCCCGCCCGCCCGTCAGGGTCCACCCGCCCGACCCTACAGGCCCGCTATAGGGTCCGCCCGCCTGCTCCCCCTCCTCAACCTTTGGATCCCCCACGTGCCAGGCGAAGCGAGCCCAGGCGAAACAAGCCCCGGCGAATTGAAATTCTGGCGAACCGAGACTCTGGCGAAACGAGCTTCGGTGAAACGAGCTCCGGCGAAACGAGCCCCGCCGGAACGAGACTCTGGAAAAACGAGACTCCGGCAAAACGAGATTCTTGCATAACGAGCCCCAGTGAAACGAGACGGGCGAATCAGCCCTGGCGAACCGAGCCTCGGCGAACCGAGCTAAGCGAATCGAGTCTGGCGAGCCAAGCCCTGGCGAAGCGAGCCCCAGCGAACCAAGCCCCGGCGATCCAGGCCCCGGCGAACCGAGACTCCAGCGAATCGAGTGCGTGCCACCTGGGGGGCCTGTGGAACCTGTCAGACTTGTGGTTCTTGTAGGACCTGCACGACCTTTGGGACGACCTAAGACACCTGTGTCTTATGTCGAACCTTTCCGGCCTGCGAGAGCTGCGAGACCTGTGGGATTCCAACAAATGGCCCATGCTGGGGCGAGATCGCCATTCTGATCGATGTTTTGAAATCTTATTGTGTGTAAGTGATCACTGCGTGGAGAGGACCCAATCCCCCAGGACAGAGTCAAGAAGGGAGAGAGGCAGGAGATTAGTATTCATGTTGTGCAGTTGTGAATGGAGGAGGTAATGGGGAAAGGGGGGGAGGAAGGTGGGAGGGAGGCATGGATGTGGGAAGGGGAGCATCGGGAAGTGGACTTGGGAGGGGGGAGGCGTGGCGACGCGAGGGGGGTCGACAAAAAAGCGAAGGCGCGCCAGTGGGAGGACGCGCCCGCGCGCCAGTGGAAGGACACTCAGGCTCGAGTCAGGGTCCATCCCAGAAGCCTGCCCCTCAACACGCAGGGTGGCATGGCGCCGAACAGCCTCAACCCAGACCTCGAGGACGAACCTAGTTTCCATCTAGACCTCTGTCTGTCGCCTTGCTGTTGACTACGCGGCTGCGCTGCCGCTCGCGTCTGCCACCGTGTTGTGGGGGTCCCCCGAAACACGGTGGCTTGTCCACCCCCCGTTCCCGGATCGGGCAGTGGACAAAGCACGGCCCTTCCTCCTCCTTGGACAATCGCTCCGCGCGGAGAGGAGCAGCAGGCAGGGACTTGAGGCAAGCGCGATGGCGGCATGACACCGCCGGCTCATCTCGTCACGGAGAACGCCACCGTCGCGGCCGTGGAGACGCGTCGTCTCCAGAGCGTGGCCGCCGATACATGCGCAGGGCTTACGGGAGACTTCAGCTGCACCATCAGACTCTGAAACAAGGACCATCTCTGGCTCAGGAGTGGCAAAGGTTTGCGTTTCGCCCCTCAGATCTAGATCTGGAACCTCCTTCGGCCGAGGCTCTCCGTGGCCAGAGAAGCGTATTCGTTCCGTATCTGGCGCTCCTGGTGGCAGCACCGTAATTGGCATTCATTGCCGCAGAATTGTTAGTAAGCGAGCTTCATTGGTACACGGATTTGCCAGATCTGAGAGTGGTCCTGGCACGAGGCCGTTTGTCGCAAAACGTACACATGGCAAGTATGGACGGAATGTTGGATGATGCGTGTCGCGGGGGATCTCGACATCAATGGATTGCGTGCTCACAAGCATGTCTCACGTGTTGCACTTCTACCAAAAGCAAATGATGGACCATGTTCTATCGTCCTCGACTCGTTCTGTCCAGTTGGGCGTGGCAACCTAGATGCAGACGGGTGCCTTGGCTCTCACTTCAACTCTTTACAGTGCGGAAAGTGGTGATCGCGAGACAAGTTCGTCATGCTTTATAGAAGGAGCACATACTGACATGTGAACGTGTTTCTACGGCGATAAGTAGAATTGTTGGGAGTTTCTGGCGGGCAGCTGCCTCTTCCCCTTACCCCCCTCCTCTCGTTCCCTCTCCCTCCCCCTTCTCCTCTCCCTTTTTTCCCTTCTCCGCCTCCGTCTCCGCCTCTTCACGGGAGGTCCCTGGAGGCCTCCAGAGAGATCCCATGAGGCCTCTGGAGGCCAATTAGAGGCTCAGACAGGGCCAGAAATGCCCCCAAGCCCTCCATGTTCGATCCTCGAACATTCTCGATCATCGCATCGCGTCTCCTTTCCCCTCCCCAGACCCCCGAGGTTGTGCTTTGCTTGCAGCGTGGATCCCCAGAGGTCACCTCTCCCCGGGGACCAGTACTTCGTATCGGGTGTTGATGCTTGTTTGGCAGTCCCGGGGCCCCGTGAGGCCCGTGAGGCCCCCCCAGAGGCCGACAATGGCCCCACATGTTGCGTCGCGTTTGTGTTTCGAGGACGAGGGGGTCTCTCGGCTGAAGGTCCGGATCCGCAGGGCGCGGTCCCGCGGGGCACGCCGTGCTCCGCCCCGGGGTCGTGGGCGGCCACAGCCTGCGCGGCCCTCCAGCATCTCTCGGAGCGCGCGGGCCCCTTTCCCAGGAGATCGAGGCGCGCGCCGAGAACCTCCTCTGCGGCGACTGCCGCGCGAAGGCGGCGCGGCGGGCGCGAGAGGCGGTTCCACACCGGGAGCGTTCCCAGGAGTCCTCGCGTCGAGAAGTGCCAGTGTAACACGGAGAGGAGTTTGTGAAATGTTTGGCTTCACGGGGCCCGCCCTTACCGGGGCTCATGGAGCCGAAACAAAACAGAGCAACGACGTACGAGGCTTGGGCGTAGCTATATATATATATATATATATATACACATATACACGTATGTGTGTGTGTCAGGGTCGGGATGAAGCAGTAAGGATTTTGCCAGGATTTCCGTTTCAGTTTTCTTCGAAATTCTGTCAACAGTTTTGTCAACACATCGGTTAAGAAATAGGTTCAAACATCGGTCGGGCTTTTTTGATTTGTAAGTTTTTAGTTTGCTTTCGGAGCGCGTCCGCCAGCGCATTCAGCAACGGTGCTTTTGGCGGATTGGATTGGTTTTGAATTGTCTACTTTTTACGAGGGCCGTTTTGGACTTTCGTTTACGTTTTTCGAAGGCCCAAAGGGGGCCCAAGAGGGCCCAAAGTGGACCCCAGGAGGGCCCCAGAGGTGCTACATCAAACCGCCGGTTGGATATAGCACCTCTGGGGCTATCTCGGGGCCCTCACGGGGCTTCCAGGGAGCCCTCCAGGGGGCCCCTCTGGAGCCTTCATGGGGCTATCTTGGCGCATTCTCGGTCCCCTCTTGGAGCTTCCTAGGGGCCCTTTCGAAGCCTTGAGAGTATCCCGAGAGGCCTCCAGGGAAGGTACAATCCCATAAACGATTTACATTAAGATGACTGGTTATATTGCAGGGCCATTACAAGGCATTGCAGGGCCGTTTGCAGGATAATGCTGGATTTTCCAAGGTATTGCAGAGTCGTTTTGCAGGGTATTGCAGGGGTCCCCAGGCTCCCCTCCCCAATTCCCTATGGGTTGGTGCTGTCTTTAAGGTATCTTGGGTTGTCTCGGGGACCTCTTGAGCTGTCTTGGCGCCCTCCTGGGCGTTTTGAGAGTCCTCTTAGGCGCTTCGGTGGCTCCTTGCGCGTTGCATTTCCCGTGTGTTGTTAGGGGTTGCCAGCCTCGACCTCCTAATTTTCCGATGGATTGGGGCCGTCTTGGAGGACTCTTGGTTTGTCTCGGGGGTCTCTTGAGCTGGCTTGGCGCCCTCCTGGGCTTTTTGGGGGTCATCTTGGGCGCTTCTTCGGCCCTCTTGGAGCGATCTCGGTGGCTTCTCGCGCGCTGCAGTTCCTCCGTGTTTTCAGGGGTCGCCAGCTTCCCCTCCCCATTTTTCGATGGATTGGTGCCAAATTGGACGTTGTATTCGGGGGGGCTCTTGGGCTGTCTTGGCGCCCTCCTGGGCGGTTTAGGTGCCCTCTTGGGTGCTTCGTGGCCCGTCTTCGAGCAATCTTGGTGGCTTCTCGCGCGTTGCATGTCCCATGTATTTTTCGAGGTCGCCAGCCTCCCGCCCAAATTTTCCCATGGATTTGGGGCCGCCTTGGAGGTCTCTTGTTTTGTCTTGGGGCCTCCTGGGTTGTCTTGGCGCCCTCCTGGGCGGTTCAGGAGCCTTCGTGGGCGCCTCCTGGGCCATCTTGGTCTCTACCCCTCCCAGGGCCCTCCTCCCCAACGCCGCTCCCGACGCCTGGGAGAAATCGGGCAAAATCTGGCAGAAAACGCGGGCTCGCCAACCCTTTGTTTTCACAGGGCAAACGGACATCCGGCAAAATCCAGAACATCCGGCAAAATCTGGGCGAAATCCGATGCAAAATCTGGGCGAAATCCAAGGGAAATCCGACAGACACGGTCCCCGAATCCAGGAGTTTTCTTCGTTCGCGCTCCTGTGCCAGCCCGTCCCGCCGCGGATGTTTCCACCTCGTCCGCGGGACCGTGCCGTTCGTCGCCGGGATGGGCGTGGGAGACAACGGCGCGTGGGATCGCAGCAGAAAGATTCGCGGTCTGACGCCGCAAAACCTTGGATGCGTGGCGGCAGTCCTCAGGCCACCATCTTTCTATCATGGCATCGCCATTTTTACCCACCAGTACTGATATCATCTTATCCTGACACTATTAGGTATATATGGTCCAGGGCTTGGGCCCCCCCCCAATGCTGATGCCATTGGGCCCCCTTCCCCCGCACGATGGTCCCCCCCGCCCCCCCCTGTGGGCGTGGCGTGGTGCTGCGCTGCTGTGCCCCCCCCCCCCCCTGTGGATGTGGTGTGGTGCTGTGGTGGTTCAGAGGTGGGCGTGGCGTGGTGCTGCGCTGCGGTGCCCCCCTCCCCCCCCTGTGGATGTGGTGTGGTGCTGTGGTGGTTCAGAGGTCGTCGTCGCCGTCGTCGTCGTCGTCGTCGTCGTCGTCGTCGCCGTCGTCATCGTCGTCATCGTCGTCATCGCCGCCGCCGCCAGCGTCGTCGCCGCCGCAGCCGTCGTCGTCGTCGTGGTCGTCGTCGTCGTCGTCGCCGTCGTCGTAGTCGTCGCCGTCGTCGTCGTCGTCGTCGTCGTCGTCGTCGTCGTCGTCTCTGGGACCATACCATCTGAGAGGGGGGGGGGGCCCGAGGAGTCCTGGGACCATACCATCTGGGGGGGAGGGGGGGGGGGCCCGTGGGCCCAGAGCCCGGGACCATATATCGCGCCCCGCCTTCTGTAAAGGTTCGCGTCGTGCGTGCGAGGGTGTGCCGAACTTTGTCCACAATGCCAAACGCGAACCAATGTCGGGCCTTATTGGGGCTTCCAGGGGGCCCTCCAGGGGGCCCCTCTGGAGCCTTCTTGGGGCTATCTTGGCGCGTTCTCGGGCCCGTCTTGGATCGTCCCAGGGGCCCTGTGGAAGCCTTGTGAGCACCCCGAGTGACCCCCAGGGAAGAGAGAATCCCATGAACGATCTGCTGGGCGGCTGGTGAGACTGCAGGGCCATTGCAGGGCATTGCAGGGCCGTTGGCTGGGTTTTGCCAGGTTTTTCCTAGGTATTGCAAGGTAGTTTTGCAGGGTATCGCAGGGGTTAGGTTTGCAGGTTATTGCAGGGTCTCGGCGCAGGGTATTGCAGGGTATTGCAAGGTCCGCGTGGAGTCTTTGCACCCGTCGTTTATTGCAGGGGTTGCGGCGAAGTCCAGGGGAGAGGGTGGGGAGAGGGTTTATAATTTGAAGTTGGAAGAGGCTTGTCCGATAAACCACATACATCCAGAGGGTTGGTGGGGTTTTTGTTTGTGAACAGTCACGACTACGACCTTTAATGCGTATGCCCGCCTGTGTATATGACCATGAAGTATATGGCTAGGGCCCTATGTGGCATGACATATATGACCAATATGGTACATCCGCTGTCTTGTATACGGCCGCCGTGCGTGCATATGACTGGTCTTTCATGGCATCCTATGTACATGACAAGTTTTGTGGATTGCCAGTCTTGTAAAAGACCTGCCATTTTAGGATTTATCCAGGTGTGACAGAGCGAATGATTCGCCGTTGAGCCTCCGATCCAAGTCGAGCTCGTCCGTAATCGGATTGGCTCAAGTTTTTCACTGACTAGAGGAGCCAGACGCCGGGAGCCCACCTTTATGTTCGCGACCCTTTTTTACGTCGGCCGAGCAGCGTTCAATACACTTGCGTCCGACGCGGTCTCTCACGCGGCCCAGCAAACGGCCGGATCCCTCACCCGGTGCGCGGTGGAGCAGTATACCCTCGGCACGAGCGCCCTGAAGTGGGGCATCTTCTTTGTGGGCCTGTTGGTCGGGCTCGTCGGCGGCGTCTTCTTCACCTGCTGCTGCGCTAGCTGCTTCTTCTGTGCTTGGAGTCATGTTCCGCGTTGGGCAGAGAAGGTCAAGCTTCACTACCGGGACGGCGAGTGGCACGCTCGCTTGCTGATCAGGGAGACGACCGAGGATATGATGCTGCAGCAGACAGGGGAGTTGCCAACAGAGCCTGGGCTGCCCGTGTGGTGGGTAGCCACCCGGGACGGAGACGTTTACCCGGAGCAGGTGGGCGAGGGCGCCTCGCTTGACACGCGGAGCTACCACGCCAATGGTGCCCTCGTCCCGCGGGCCGCGAGGCCCGGCTTCAGGGCGGGCGATCCCTTCTTCGACTTCGAGCCGGGCACCAGCCTCGCGGAGTTGTACGTGGCCACCCTCGCCGCCGCTGAGGCCGTGGAGGGCGTGGCCCCGGCGGGGGCCTTGGCGCTGCCGGGGGCCGCGCCCCCTGGGCCCCCCGGAGGCGGGGCGCCCGCGGCCGAGCCGCCGGCCCCCGAGGCCGCGGCTGCGCCGGTCGCCGTCGACGACGAGGGCGACCTTCGGGTGCTGCCCGTCAAGTGGCGGGGGGACAAGCGCTACCGGCCCTTCAGCGAGGCGGTCGACAGCATGGAGCACGTGGAGTTCAACGACTGCGAGCTGGAGGGTGACCCGAGCGCGGAGTGGTACCTGCACAAGATGGTCCAGACTGGCCTGGCCCCGGTTGCTCGTTCGCGGGCGTGGGCCAGCGAGAGTGGCATTCCAGCCGGGGATCGCTCGGTTCACGAGCATCACGTGATCATGAAGGTGGTGCAGACGGCTGCGGAGAGAGACCAGCTGAATCTCATGTGCCTCGAGAGTTTCGAACTGCTGATTCGCCGGGCGCAGGTGATCGCGAGTCCGCCCATGCCAACAGCCCGGCGAATGCGGACTACACCCACGCCGACGACATGATGGGCTGGGGGGTCACGAAGGGCGGCGCGCTGGTGGTTCCGGCTCTCACGCGCCACGTGGCTTCCCGCGCCGCCGAGCGCAGTTCGATCCTCAAGGGGCAGCGCAAGCACGCGGAAGAGATGCGCCTCTCGCGGGGCAGGAAGCCGCCCAAGGGGGCCGGCAAGGGCGGTGAGGGCACCCCCGGCGCCGACGGCGCCGGGGCGGCGAAATGACGCCCCAACCCGAGGAGGGCGTGGGCTGCCCTCCCGCCGCGGCCGCGGCGCCCCGCGCCCATGGGGACGGCGATCGACTCGTGCAACGCGATCTTCTCCCTCTGCCTCGCATTGCTGGGTGCCGAGCTGGGTTTTCTCGCGGCGTGAGGCAGCGGCTGGCCGAGACGGACCGGTGCTTTGAGCGCGTTAATGAGATGGTGGATGCATTTAATTCTCTTGCCGGTTACTCTGAGCCGTGTAACCGCCCGGCGTCCTCTTGCCAATAAGAAGCTCTCAGTCGGCTCGAAGGCGCAGCTCGTGCCTTCAGGCCTGCATTTTGTCTTCCTATCATTCCGAGGAAGCCCTCGCGGCGTTTCTCGGGCCCGGCCGCCCTTACGAAAACGGCCCCACCGCTAGCCTCGCTTCTTGCGACTCAGAGTTGATCTCGGTGCCCCGTGCCGGAGCAAAGCCTGTGGATCCCGCGTCGCGTCTTCCGAGTGATGCCAGTCAATTTCTCGTGGGTTTTGAGCGACACATCCTGTTGAATGAGGGGGAGTGGGGGGCCGTGTGTGAGACGCAGCCGCCTGTTAAAGTTTACTCTGATCCTAAGCTCCGGGGGGGGGGTCAAAGCACTTTAAAAACCTGATGTCCAAAATGCACGAGGCCGGGTTGTTGGCCTACGTTTCGACGCCTGCCTGCAAGGTGGGCGCCTTCGCCGTTCGCAAGAAAACCCGACGGCAGCGTCTTGCCGTTGACTGCCGCGCCACTAATCGTTGCTTCCGCCCCACCCCTCACCTCCCGATGGGCACAGGTGCCGCGTGGGCGGATGTGGTCATCGGCGAGGGCGAGGGAGCGCGGTTCTCGCTCTCGGACATCAAGGATTATTTCTATCGTTGCGGGATCCCCCCGGAGCTCAGTAGACACTTCTGTTTTGATGCCGTCGAATCCGATTTTTTTTTTGCTTTGAAAACTTCGTTCTGCCGCTTGTTTTCCTGGGCCCCGGGGGCCCTCAGGGCACCTGGTACCCAGCTCTCCGGATCTGCCATCTGGTTGCATCTTGCTCGATCGGACTCCTGCTCCTGTCCTCCGTGGCTCCTCCGTCCTCGCCCTCCCCTATTGTGACGACCTCGCGGTCGCCGCGACGTGCCCCGAGAGAGCGAGCCGAGCCCGGGTGCGCGTTGCCGATCACTGTCGCGAATTAGGTTTCGAGGTGCATGAGGAGGAGGAGGAGGCAGCTCAGTGGGCACAGAGTCTGGGCTTCCTGCTCGATGGGGCCCGCGGGTACTTTGGCGGGGCCCCCGAGAGGCAGCGGCGCCTCCGAGTCGCCCTCTTTGCCCTCGCTCGTCGCCCCGTCGTGTCTGGAAGACAGTTGGAGCGCCTCTCGGCCACGTCGCTTTTTAGCTGCTGGCTCGTCGAGAGCTTCTTTCGGTCTGAGTTCCAGTTGCGGGCTTGCACGCAAGTATGACAATTCCCGTGGTCGCCTCTGGCCAGGCGTGGCTCGAGAGTGTTGGATCTTGGGATGTATGCTGCCACTCTGTTCCGCAAATCTTCGGGCTCCCTGGGGCCCCCTCAGTTTTATGACCGACGCGAGTCCCTCCGGCTTCGGCGCATGCGAAGCCCCGCTTACGCCGCCAGAGCTGGAGGCCGAAGGTGCTTATAGTGAGCGCTGGAGGTTCCGTCTGGAGCTTGAAAGGGGCGAGGGTCCTAGGGCAGACGCCCTCCGTGCCGCCGACCCCTTCAGCGATCCCGCGACGGTCAAGCCGCGCGGCAAGCCCGCCAGATGGGCGTGGGGCCCCCAGGAGGTCTTCCCCAATGTCTCCCAACACGTGCTTGCTAAGGACCGCTGGAAGACGGTCGTCTCTGCCCCGTGGGGCCGCAGGGAGGTAATTCACATCCTGGAGGCGCGGGCCTGTTCGGCTGCCGTGCGTAGAAGGGTCAGGACCGCCAAGGCCCATGGGCGTCGTCTGCTCGGGTTCTCGGACAGCATGGCTGCGGTGCTCGCTTTCACGAAGGGGCGTTCCACTGACGACGCCCTGCTCCAGCTTTGTCGCCAGTTTGCGGCGGTTGGCCGCGGGAGTACGGGTGCGATGGAGGTGGATCCCGTCGGAGTTCAATCATGCCGACAGCCCCTCTCGTCGATCCATGACCTCCGCTGATCTGGCTGATGAGGCTCGACTCGCTCAGCTCCGAGCCCGAGCCGCCCGCGGGCGGGCACTTTCTGCTGGCGGCCATGGACGCGGCGGCGATGCGGGAAGCCCCTCGCCTCACGAGGCGGGCAGCCCGGCTGCCCCCCGCGGCGCCCTCGGCCCGGATTGGTGGGACCGCCGGCCCCGCCAGGGCTCGCGAGGGGCCCCCGACGGCCAGGGTGGCGCCCCGCTTGCGTCGGCCGCTGCCGCCTCCAAGCCCTCGACGCCGGCCCCCGCGGCCCGGGCGGCGAGGCCGACCCGGCTGACGCGGGCGAGCCCTTTGCCGTCCAGCGCCTTCTCCGCGACGGCCCTCCGCCGGGGAGGGCGGCTGCGCAGCCGGCGGGCCGCGGCGAGGTCGAGACGGGTGGCGGACGCGCCGGCAGCGCCGCCCCCGAGGGCCCGCGCTGGGGGCCTGAGCCTACTGGAGAACCGGTCCGCGGGCAAGGCCATGCAGAAGCGCTACAGGGTGATCTTCGACTCGGTCATGGAGCACGCCAAGGGGGGGCCTCAACACGGCGCGCCTCGTCCAGATGCTGATGGGCCGGAGCTCGGACGAGGAGACGCTGCTTCCCATCGGCATGCGCCTGTGCAAGAAGCACTTCGACCAGGCGTGCGTCGACCTGGGCCTCGAGCAGTTCAAGCTGGTCACCTGCCAGGCCCGGCGCGGAGGGGCCGCCGGGGACATCCTCCTCCAGCGGCGGACGCTCGAGGAGGCGCGCAAGCGGGGCACGTGGGAGACGTGCGCCAGCCTGCGCAGGTACGAGAAGAGCGGGAGGGTCCAGAAGGTAATGCGGACCACGCCGCCGCACCTCCTCGCCTTCGCCCGGTTGGCGTGCACGAGCCTCGAGGAGCGGCTCCTTGGGTTGCCGTCCGCCGCCCCGCTTCCGCCGCGGAAGCGACCCCACGCGCCATAGAGGTTTTCGCCGGCACCGCTGGCGTCAGCCGTGCCCTGGCCAGCCTTGGCCTGCCCACCTTGGTCTACGAGATCCTCGAAGGGCCGGGCGCGGACGTCGCTCGACGTGCCGTGCAGGAACGCATCCTGGAACTGGCCCGATCTGGTCAGATACGATTTGTCTGGATTGGGCTGCCTTGCACCACTTACAGCCGCGCGCGTGCCGGAGGGGCGTGTCCTGGCCCAGTGAGGTCCTCAGCTCGCCCCTTTGGGCCTGGCGGGGATCTCGGCCAAGGGCGCTCAGAGGGTCGCCGACGCGAACTTGCTGACCCGCTTCACGATTCGCCTTCTCCGGTGCTGTCAACGACACCAGGTTCACGCTGTGCTTGAGAATCGTCGTACTAGCATTCTTTGGCACGTTCCAGGCATCCGTCGCCTCCAGGATTTTTTCGGTTATTTGAAGGTTGAAGTAGATTATTGTAGATATGGTGCGAAGTGGAGAAAAGGCACGACCCGTCTGTGTAACTTTGAAGCGGCCACCTCCCTCGAAGCCAAGTGCAGAGGCTCTCGAGGTCTGTGTGGCGTCACTGGCCTTCCTCACTTCCCCCTGTCTGGTAAGGATGAGAACGGGTTTTTTTGGACCCGCCGCGCCCAAGGATACCCTAAAAAATTGTGCTCGTCGGTGGCCCGTCTCGTTTCTCTTTAAGGGCTACGCCAGGTCAGAGTATGGACTATGGTGTTAGCTCTTCGGTGGCGTGGACGCCCCCTCGAGCGTGTTTTTATTTGACTCACGCTGCCGTTGTCTGTTCGCGTTCATCCCTAAGCATGGCTTCGCACATAGTGCTGGAAAAACGAGCATCGTCATTTTAGGATTTATCCAGGTGTGACAGAGCGAAAGATTCGCCGTTGAGCCTCCGATCCGAGTCGAGCTCGTCCGTAATCGGATTGGCTCAGGCTTTTCAGTGGTTCCTTCCGCCTCCCCTCCTTCTCCTCTTGGTGTTAGCTCTTCGGTGGCGTGGACGCCCCCTCGAGCGTGTTTTTATTTGACTCGCGCTGCCGTTGTCCGTCCGCGCTCATCCCGAAACATGGCTTCACACATAGTGCTGGAAAAAAGAGCATCGTCATGTATATGACAAGTATTGAGGGCGGGTGGGTTTGACTTAACCCACGGCAGGAAGACGCTGCTGCGTGGTTTGGCTTTCCAGTTGCTTCCGACGGAAGACGAGCAGCACGGTGCAGATTCGGTGCTGCTCGGATCCACACTTGGCGTGAGCCTTCCGGGTGGCCAGTGCGTCGCCGACCCGCGGTCGTGATGTCGGGGATCGTCCCAAAACGTTTGTTTCGGCATTGCTTCTTGATTTTTTCCGTCGAAGAAATCCGCGCGGCCTTACTCCTTGGTCTCGGCCCTGATACACGACTTTTTTGGGGAGGAGTGAAGGGGGAGGCTTCTTGGAGGCATTCTGAGGTGGTCGACGGCCTCCAGAAACCTTTGGATACCTCTCCAGACTTCAGGCGACCCGCAAGCTACCTCCGCAGAGCATCTTGGTAGCAAGCTCGACTTGAATGAGGATTCCATGGCCTATGCAAGTGGGGCGAGTCTAGAGGCCTCTCTAAAGGCTTGCCGTGGGCCGTGTCAGAGGACGTGCCTGGAGCCGCGCGCCACGGAGAGGATTCGAGAGGGGTCCGCCAGCGCGAAATCGTCCACACACATCCCAACGTTTGTGTTTGTGTGGATACCTTGTTTTGTTCTCTGCGACCCCCTCAAGATACAGTACTTCATAAGGCTGCCCTTGCAACCTTGCCTGTTGGGCTCGTCCTGCTCCAATTGTCCAGGTCGTTGTTTCGACGTGCGTGTCCAGGGATCCACGGATTTCGCGTCCTGGAGTAATTACACTCACACACAACTAACAATTCAGCCGTGACTTCATAAGGAAAATAGTGTACATAATAACGGCTATGCAACACTCGTGATATGCAGATGATGTCATTGCCGCTGGCCTGAGAGATGCTGTCATATGCTGTCATCGTCGCAAGCCTACTGGCGGGTGATGTTGAATTCGGTCTCCTCCGTCCGGTAAGTTTCCATATTCTCATTGTCGCATCGTCCTCATGCTTCTTCTGCATTCTAGATCCTCCTCATCCTCATCCTTTCCCTTTTCTCTCACGAGACCTGACTGGGGTGCGTTCTGGACAGCATTCCGAGGCGAATCCAGCCGTGGCCACAATAGCGCCATAGGAGGGCCCCTCAGGGCTCAAAATTTCGAAATGTTGACCGCAGATCTTCCTCAAGAGGAGGAGGAGGAGGAGGAGGAGGAGGAGGAGGAGGAGGAGGAGGAGAGGGAGGATGTCTTGTGGGGTCTCCAGAGGTCTCTCGATCTTGCTCCTCCTCCGCCCTCCTCGCTGGTTCGCATCGCTTGGGCAGAGAGTAAAAGTCCGATCACAGGGCGGACGGCGAAAACGGCGGGTGGGTAGAGAGAACGGCGGCCACGCCGCAATAGAGCAGCAGCAGCAGCAGCAGCAGCAGCAGCAGCACCAGCCAGCCAGCCAGCCAGCCAGCGAGCCAAGCTACAGAAGGTTGGTCCTCCTCTTCTCCTCCTCCTCCTCCTCCTCCTCCTTCCTCGGTGCACGAACGTCTTGGCATGGATAGAGGGCTGGCCGCTGTGCGAAGCACCCGCTGCTTTAGGCTGAGACCAGCGGCAGAGCGCATGCCCATTTTTGCGAGTTGTTTCGTTACTGTTGTTGTTTCGTGGTTACCGTCGCTCTGGGCCGACGCTGGGCCCGTGATCAGTGCAGCCAGCCACTGCCTCGTCACCGCGAACATCTCTGGCGGCGTGGAGGGCCTCGTGGTGATCGTGGGTTCGACGGGGTTCATCCTAGGGTAAAACTGTGCGACCATCGATGGCTGCCCCTGCGCTTCCCGCGCTCGAGAGCGGTCGTCGCGCGGCCATCCTCTGGAGCGACGGCGGCGACTGGCAAGTGAGGGTGCTGCTCACACCAGCGACGGCCGGCGACCTCGTCGAGGTGATGGAGATCAACAGCACCGCCGACCACGCAGCCCAGCACCGGATCTGGTTCGCGCTGACGCCCGACGGGGGGATCTACCCCCGGCTTTTCGCAGCACCGCCGCTGGCGGGCCAATGTCGCGCCGATCGACGGTCCTCTTCGTGTCAGCGGCATCCGAGGGCCGCCGGTGGTCTACGCGCGCAAGGACGTACGGGAAGGACTAGGCGGCATTTCCCTTCGCATTCAGCCAAGCCGTCAGGTTCGCACTGGTGAGCAACTCCGCCGACCCGAGCCCGCCATCGAGGAGGCTGCCTGGCAAACAGCAGGGGGGGAGCAGCAGCGATGAACAGTCTTACAGTCGCTGCTGCTGCGCCGCGCGCCCCCGACGCCGGCAGGCCGAGTTCGCCCGTGGCTCAGAGCTCGAAGTTCAGGAGGTGCTCAGCGGCCTCTACTCACACGGGTCGCCAAAGAGCAACGAGGTTTTGTCGCGCGCGCAGGCGGCTGGCGCGAAGCACGTGACGGGCGCGATCTTCTTTACCATCGCCCCCCCCCCGCGTCGCCCTTGCGCCAGCCTATGATGAGACGCGCGGTCGCCTGCCCAGCCGCTGCGAAATGCCGGGGATGCGTGCGCCCTTCCAAGGGGCAATGTCTCGCCCGTCGTCGGGGACTACGCCTTCTGCGACGGCCTGTCGCCGCGCGGCGCGCGCGACGGGCGGTTGGGCTGGCGGGGCTGGCTGGCGCCGCCGGCGTCGGACATTTGCGCAGATCGGGCCAAGCTTTTTTCAGGTCCAAAGTTGGCGCGTTCGCAGTCTACCCTTGCTTCTTTCTTGTTGGGCCCCCTGGGCCCCGACCTTCTGTGCTTCTGGTCGGAGCAGCCGGCCACCGCGGGGATGTTTGTCGTTTTGAAGTCGCAGCGTTTGAAATTCGAAGCCCCAGCGGCCCACCAAGAATTTGCCGACCCCGGGTGCGTTCAGCTCCCCGCCGCGGGGGGCTCGGAACCGCTTCAATATGAACAAAGTCGATGAGTTTTCTTGTCGCGGGTAGATGTCGGCAGCGCGTTCTGCCAGATCGTGCTACCCACGGGGCTGAGTGGACGGTTTGCGTTCCTGGCAGGCATTGCCGGCGGCGCGGCTTGGCCTTGCGCTCCCGGAGGACCAGATTTCCAGCCACCTCTGGTCGCCGCCGACGGGGTGGACTTGGGGCTTGCATTTCCGCCAGGCGGTGGCGGAGTCAGCAGTGGGTCGCGCGGGGCCCCCCAAAGGGCCGCGGCGTCAAGGGCCGCCGCGCGGCGCCGGGCGCGAACCAGGGGCCGGCGGCCGCCGTCTACGTCGACGGCGCGGCGGCGCTGCGCGCCGATGCCGTCGTTTCGGAGCCACGCTGCCAGGGCGTCCTGGACGCCCCGACGGCGCGCGGGCTTGTCGGCAAGGGCGTGGATCGCCCGGGGGCGCGCGGAAGTTCACCGGGCTGAGGTTCGACATCGAGAGCGGCGAGGTGTCGCTCGGGAGTGACCCGCTCTTGCGCTTGAGGCTCAGGCTGCCGTGCGCGGCGGGCCGGGGGATCGTCTCCGGCGACGGCTTGCGGCGGCTGGTGGACCACTTCACCTGGGCGGTGCCCGCGCGTTGGGAGCCGCTGGCAATCTTCGACGGCGCGCGCCACCTCGCCGACCGCGCGGGGGCCCGCCGCTGGCGCGCGTGGCCCAGCGTCGAGCTGCAGCAGCGGCGCGCCGCGGCCCTCGCGCGCTCCTGCCTCGTTGCCCCGGAGCGGCCGGGCCGGGCCTGAATCGCGCGCGGCGGAATCGTCGGGGGGCCCGGGCGTCGACGCAGGCGGGCGCGGAGTCATGGGCAAGGGCTGCGATCCCGACGCCGCCTCGCGCTTTGTCACCCAAGCAGAGCGGTGGAGGCACGGGCGCCGTCGCCGGCAGGCTTCGCGCGCCGGGGTCGGATGCCCGCTGGCTGTCGCCGCGCGGGCCGCTCGGAGAGGGGAATCGGATTTCCCGGCAGCGGCGGCTGGAGCGCGGGCGATTGTACCGATTGGAAGCTGAACATGAGAGGTCGTCGGCGCCGAGAAGACAACGTCATGCGGACCGAGGGCCGCGCCGCGATCTCGGTGGCGAGGCGCCGTCTGCGGCGCGCCGGCGCCCCAGGCCAGCGATTGGCAGCGCTATGCGACAACCTGTCTGTTGTCCTGGCCCTCTGGAAAGGAAGGTCGTCATCGTCGCGCCTGTTGCGCGCCTGCCGCGACGTGCTTGCCCTCGGTCTCTTCGGGCTTGAATGTCATGGCCAGATGGGTCGCGTCAGAACTCAACCCTATCCGACCGCCCAGAGCCCAGAGGCTCAAGGGCGCGGTCAGCTTGGGCCCCGGCTTCGACCCTCGCAGCGCCCGGCGCGACGCTGGGGCGACCGCCCGCTGGGCCGCCAGGCGGGCAGGCCAGGCCATCAACGAGTGCGTCGAGTGCGATGCCGGGGGCGCGGATGGCTCGGCCCGCGCGGCCGCGCTCGGGGGCGGGCCCTGGGGCCCGACGCCCGCCGCCCAATTGGCGGGGCCCAATTCTGGCCGCGAGAGCTCGGACTCTGACGGGGGCCTTGAGGACCTCGCCCCCGGAGCGAGCGCTGGGGGGCTCGGTCTCGGACCTGGCGGCAGTGGAGGGGCGGGCGCAGGGGCGGGCCCGGCGACCGCGCGCCTCGACGGCCGCGCAGCCCCTTCGCCCACCAGGGGCGCCCCTGGAAGCCGCGGGCGGTTCGGACAGGCGGGCCCGCGCCGACGCCGCGCTGCGCCAGGCTTTCCTGGATTGGGCCCGCTTCCGGGGCTTCGGCGCCCAGGCGAGGATCGACCTGCGCGCGGTCCTCTCGCGGCGCCCCGACATGCTGCGCCGCGCGGGCTTCGGCCAGTTGCGCGGCCAGAGAACGGGCGCAGCACTTCTGGCCTGAGCGCGAGCTCAACGGGCTTCGCGGGCCGGCGCGCGCCCGCGCGGCGCTGGGCGGATTCCGCCGCCGAGCGCCGGGCTGGGCGCGGAGGCCACTCCCGCGCGCGGCCTGCCCGCCCGCCCTGGGCGCGGCGCTGCGCCCGCGGCTGAAGGAGGTCGCCCTCGCCCCCGCGATCCGACGTCGTCGAGATGGTGGGGGCCAGCCTGGCGCGACCTCGCGCGTCGGCGGCAGGCGCCCGGCGCCGGCCGCCCCCCCGCGCCCGTCGAAGGCCGGCCGCGCGCGCAAAGTCGGCCACTTGCGCGCTGAAGCGGGCGACGGCGCCCGGGGAGGTACCGCAGAGGTTCGGCGCGGCCAAGCGTCGCCAGCGCCTCGCGGAGCGCCCGCGCCTGGCCGGGCACGGCCGCGCGAGACCGCGCCAGCTCGCGCGCGTCGCGGCGCCGCGCCGCCCTCGCCGGCCAGATGGCGCCCGAGTAGATCCAGGAGAAGAGGGTGCGGCGCCTGCAGTCGAAGGGCGCCCGCAGGCATCGACGCCGCGCTCGCTACCTCGCCGAGCGGCCCCTTCTCGAGTCCCTCCTGCAGCGGCGCGCCCAGGGTCGAGCGGCGCCCCCAGACCTCATGCTGGCAGGGGCGCCAGCGCCCCCAGCAGGCAAGCGAGGGCAAAAGCTGCGAAATGCGGCACCACCTGGCGCGCGCGAGACACTCGGAGTTGTGAATGATGCCGCGCCGCTTCGCCGCCGCTTTGCGCTTGTCTCCGCCGCCCTGCGCGAGGCTCTCGTGGTCGGACCCTCCAAAGCAATGGTATTCCTCGATGTGGTTGCCGGCGCTGGCGCTGTCGGTAGATGGCTTCGCCAGCACGGACAGCATAATGCATTTAACTTCGAACTGAAAGATAGCATCGCGTTCGATCTAAGTTGCCATCGCGCGTGCAAAACATTGCGTGGTTGGATAGGTTCTCGGCATGCGCGCGGGCTTATCATTGCTTTCTCTTGCAGCGCCTGGTCTAGGGCTAGGAGTGGCCACTACAGATCGGCCTCCTATGTCCACGGGGGACCAAACCTTGAGGGTGCCCGGTCGCGTAACTGCATGCGCGGCAACCCCGCGCCGGTGACGACAGCGCGTCTCGCCCGAGCTGCGCCGCGCGTTGGCGCGCCTGCCATCGTCGAGAACCCTCATTCTAGCATGGCTTGGCTGGAAACCAGCCTTGCAAGCCGCATCAAGCACCGTGAATGCGTAACCACAGTCTGCGACTTCTGTAAATTCGGCAGGCCTTCGAAAAAGAGAACCAGGCTTGCCGGCTGTAGTACTTCTTCCCCTCCTGCTCTTAATCGTAAGTGCTCTGGCCTCGGGTGTATTCGCTCGCGCGCCGGGCAGCGTCGCATCTCCCTCGAGGGCAACATGGCCAGAGCGGGTCGACTGATAGTTGCCGCGGGACCTTGCCCCCTACAGCTCGCCGCGGCAATTGCTCGATGGTTGCGTGATTCTGCCGACATCACAGAAAGTGTGAGACTCAACAGGTTGTACTCCAAATGCTCAGGGGGTTCTTTTCAAGGCAGGCGGCTCCGCATGTTTCCCAGCAAAGGGAATCGGGATCGATTGCCGTGGAGAGTCCCGGCCTCTCACGAGGCATTTCATGAACATTCTGGTGCGAACGTAGGAACGCTATCGTTTGCCTGTCATCTGTCCGTCTTTGGCCTGCTCTCCTCGTGCCATTTCGGGTGCACGCACGTTTTGGCATGCAGAGATGGCTGGTCGCTGCGCGAATCACCGCTGCTCTAGGTTCCTCTTCCCCTCCGCCTCCTTTATGAAGCCCAGCTGGAGCTGGGATTGCTTGCCGTGGAGAGGCCAAGCCTGTCACGAGTCTACTCGTAAGGATTATGGTGCGAAGCTGCTGGTTCGTCCCTGAGCGATTGCCGTGGAGAGCCCTGGCTTCTTACGTGGCTACTTTGAACATTGTGGTGCGAAACTCTTGATTACCTGGTTCGCCCCTACAGATGTTGAAAATGGGAGCTCCATCGTTTGCCTCTCGTCTGTCCGTCCCTGGCCTGCCCTCCCCGTGCCCTCCTCCTCCTCCTCCTCCTCCTCCTCCTCCTCCTCCTCCTCCTCTCCCCGTTCTCCTCCTCCTCCTCCTCCTCCTCCTCCTCCTCTTCTCCTTTTCCTCCTCCTCCTCCTCCTCCTCCTCCTCCTCTTTCCTCCTCCTCCCCCTTCCCCTCCACCTCCCCCTCCCCCCCCTTCTCCTGGAGTCTTCCCCCGCCGGCGCCGGCCGGCAAGGCCCCAAAGTGGGCATCGGTGAACCTCGGGGTTCTGGCACCCGCGCCGCCCGCAGCGCAAGGAGGGGGAGTGCCAGAGTTGAGGAGGGACCCGCTGATAGGCTCCGGCCTCGAGGATCCAAGGATGGGAGGGGGGCAGACTGTCTGGTAGGTTTCTTTGTATGTTTTTTCGTTGTTCCCCACCCGACAGGTTGGGTTGCCAGTTGTTCTCCATATCCTAAGCGGGGTTATTGCTTTCTTCGGACACCCCGCGCAGGCCTCAGACACCCTCTTTTTATTCTCTCCTCTTTTTTCGCTCATAATCACCACGACCATCATCATCAGTATCATCATCGCACCACCAGCATCGTCATCATCATCACCGTCACAATTTGATTCTGACAATTGACCATCGATCGACATCATAACCATCATCAGCATCATCATCATCATCATCATCATCATCATCATCATCATCATCAACATCATCATCATCACCATCATCCCCATCATCATCATCGTCATCATCATCATCATCATCATCATCATCATCATCATCATCATGGGATAAAAATCGTAGAGCATGAGTGTTGATGTGGGACTTGTCAGTTTGAGGGGGGGTCGTGGAATTTTTGTTTTCTGGAGCTTCGGTGCCCTGAGGGTCGTGCAGTTTGTGGGCCAAGTCTCCCGGACTAGTGCCCCGGGACCCGCAAAACGGGAGGGCTAGGTGGCTTGCGGCCGCTTGCCCCCGTATGTGTGCCCTCGCGTGTGCCGCACGGCCTGCTCCGCAACCGTTTCAATGCTCCAATCTGCTCCAGATTCTCGCGGCCCCCCCACCGTCCCCCGCCGAGCCGAGCTCGGCGGCAAGCCTGTATTTAGCAAGCCAAGCGATTTTATCGAACTTCTCGCCTCCCTTTGTCAAAATTCCTGCGTTGGGTCTAAACGGACACCATCATCCTCATTATCGTCATCACCAGCATCATCATCGTCGTCGTCCTCGTCGCTACCACCACCACCACCGTCATCATCGTCATCATCATCATCATCATCATCATCATCATCATCATCATCATCATCATCATCATCATTGCATTCACTCGTCCATCCACTCACTCACACGCTCACACACTCACACCTCACACACTCATCTTGAGGAAGTCTCGAGCGGGAGCCTCGTCTGTGAGAAACTGTCGAGGAAGTCTCAGGCGGGAGCCCGCTCCCCATCGGGCCCGCAGCTCAAAGCTGTAAGCGTCGTCACTGCGGGGCTCTTACGTCTTGCATGTGGCAGACGTCTCGAGCGGGAGACTCGTTTGTGAGTGAGTTGCGAGGAAGTCTCAGGTTGGACCCCCCTCCGTATGGGGTCCGCACTTCCTGTTATCAATCCGAGGGAAGCATTTCCAAACATGCAAGCGTCGTCGCTTTTGGGCTCCTTCGTTCTGCATATGGCGGACGTCTCGAGCGGGAGACTCGTCTGTGAGCGAGTTGCGAGGAAGACTCAGACGGGAGCCCCATCCTTACGGAACCCGCAATTCATGTCTTTTGTATCCGATTGGATCATCCTCAGACTTGTAAGCGTCATCGGTTTTGGGCCCCTTCGGTGTAAATGTAGAGGAGGTCTCGAGCGGGAGCCTCCCTTGTGAGTGAATTGCGAGGACGTCTCAGGCGGGAGCGCCTCCCTATGGATCCCGCATTTCATGTTTCCCCACATCCAAAATGGGGTTCTTGTTTTCTTTGGACACCCCGCGCAGGAAGTCTCACCCCTCACCCCCTCCCTCTCTTCCTCATCACCCAGCACCTCTTCGCTCACACTCCCACTCACTCATCATCACACTCCTCATCATCATCAGCATCATTATCAACATCGGAATCAGCATATTCATCATTCATTCACTCACTCACTTACTCACTCACTCACTCACACACCCACACTTGAGGAATTATCAGGTGGGAGCCTCGTCTGTGAGTGAATTGCGACGAAGTCTCAGGCGAGAGCCCCGTCTTTATGGGCTTCGCAGATCATGTCATTAATCCGAGCTATTAATCCGAGCGGGTCATCCAGATCTTGTACCTGTCGTCACTTTGGGCTCCTGAGGCCTGAATATGGGGGAAGTATCAGGCGGGAGCCTCGTCCGTGAGTGAATTGCGAGAAAGTCTCAGGCGGGAGCCTTCTCCCCTTGGGGCCCGCAGATCATGTTATTAATCCGAGCGGGTCGTCCAGATCTTGTACCTGTCGTCGCTTTTGGGCTCCTGAGGCCTGATTATGGGGGAAGTCTCAGGTGGGAGCCCCCTCCCTATCGGGCCCGCAGGTCATGTTATTAATCCGAGCGGGTCGTTCAGATCTTGTAATTGTCGTCCCTTTGGGGCTCCTGAGGCCTGAATATGGGGGCAGTATCAGGCGGGAGTCTCGCCTGTGAGAGAACAGTGAGGAAGTTCCATGTGGGAGCCCCCTCCCTATGGGGCCCGCGCTTCATGTTGGTAATCCGAGCGGGTCATCTTCGAACCTTTGATTGTTGTTGCTTTTGGGCTCCTGAGGCCTGAGTATGGGGGAAGTATCAGGCGGTAGCCTCGTGTGTGAGTGAACCGTGAGGAAGTCTCAGGCGGGAGCCCCCTCCCTATGGGGCCCGCGCTTCATGTTGGTAATCCGAGCGGGTCATCTTCGAACCTTTGATTGTTGTTGCTTTTGGGCTCGTGAGGCCAGAGTATGGAGAGTACCCAGGAGCCCCGAAGGGGCTACCAGAGGATCCTTACATGGTCGGAGAGGGCCCCCCGAGAGCCCCATGACGGGCGAAGAGGGACCCGGAACGGCCGAACTGCGCTCCCAGAGGGTCCAAGAGAGGCTTACCAGGACTCCCTGAAGATGGTAAGGCTCCAGGGTGCAAATAATTAGCAGTTGCTATTGAAAAAAAACGTGCAGTTTTATGATATTCGCTTCTTATGTTCCATCGGCGGCCACGTCGGCCCAAAGGGCTCCCCACATCGGCGCCACACGGTCCACGAGGCCCCCAAAAGGGCTCCAAGACAGCATCAAGAGAGCGTCGAGCAGCGCAAGAGAGCCTCCAAAATAGCCCGGGAGAGTCCCCAGTGGGCCCGAGGGAGCCACTCCCTACATGGTCGGAGAGGACTCCATGAGGGCCCCAAGACGGCTCAGCTACCCATGTCATGCCAAGAGGGGCTTGGGACAGCCGAAAAGGGCTCCCATTCGGCCTACAAAAGGCCCAAAATGAATCCCCCACGACTGTCCACGAGGCTGCTGAGAAGGCCCTCCAAAGGGACAAATCAAGCGTCTCCTATGGAACGACGTATATTGTAGTGGCCTTCGGCCAGTGCCGCCGATCCGGGTCGCTTCGGCGACACTTCTCTGACAGACGCGCACGCACACGCTCGCAGACATTACGCGCACGCACGCACACACACACAAACACGCACACACGCACACACACACACACACACGCACACACGCACACACACACACAAGCACACACACACACACACACACGCACACACAACACACCCACAGACACACGCACACACACTCACACACACACACACACACACACGCACGCACGCACGCACGCACGCACGCACGCAAACACACACACACACACACGCACACACACAGACACACACAACACACACGCGCGCCACCTTCGCAGGCACATACACACGCAGGCGCCGGCAACACACACACACACACACACATACACACACGCACACCACGCACACCGCACAGACACACACACACACACACACCACAACAGACTCGCATTGCATTGCCACCTTCGTCTTCTCCCCAAGTGTTCCCCGTTTTCCGCTCTTGTCCCGCTCCACTTCTCTTTCCATCTTTTCTCGGTTTCCTTCTCGCGTACGCGGACGCACATTGCCCCGCGCACATGCGCGCGCCCCCCTCCCTTCTTTCCCCAGCAGAGCCACCCCGGCATCCCCCGCAAAGGGCTGAAGTTCAGCTTCGAGACTGTAGCTGAGGCTCTTTCAAACAAGCCACGGAGCCCCCCCCTTCCCCTCCTCCACGCCATCGGAACCCGCGCCGCCAGACCGCCCCCACTCTTCCCCCAATTTCCCTTGTCCGCAAGCGGGACGGGGGACCAGACCCCCCCCCCGCCCACGCCACCGGACCCCACGCCACCGAAACCGCCTCCCGCTCCTCCTACCCCGGCAGAGCCACCCCGGCCATCGGACCGACCCCCCCCTTCTCTTCCCCCAAATCCCTTTGTCCACAGGCGGGACTGGAGGCCCGGACACTCTCCATTTGCCACCGGAACCAAGGCCACCGGACCCTCCCTCCCCTCCCTTTCCTCCTACCCCGGCAGAGGCACCCCGGCCAGCTCCCCCTTAAAGTCACATGCCGGATCGGCGGATGTCTGGTAGATTCGCTTAAATTCCCACCCCCCTCCCCCTTAGATTCACACCCCCTCCCCCTTAAACTACCAGCGGTCGCGACGGCCCAAAAGGTTACCAAAATGGGCCCCACACGACCTCAGAAGCCCCACAGGGGGTTCCAAGATGGGCTGAAGAGAGCTTCGAGCGGCACAACAAAAATACAAGACGGCCCAAGAGAGCCCCCAGGAGGTCCGATGGGGGCCACCAGAGGATGAAGAGGGCTCGAGAGGAGGAAAGAGGTGAAGTAGGTGAAGGAACACAAGGAGGGGCACGCCGAAGAACGGGGATGACATGGAGGAGAAAGAAGAGGAGGAGGTGAAGGAACAGCGATCCTTTGTCAGGGACACGCCGACAAGGAAAATGATGAATCTATAATGATGGGAAGAGGAAGAACGGGAAGAGGAGGAGGGGAAGAGGATTGCAGTGGACCGGGGATGATGACGGCGATGACGCTGATGATAATGACGATGACTCTGCCGACGACGCCGACGACGACCAGTTGGGTGTTGCACATGTTTTTGAATCCCTCGTTGTCGTTGCCGCTGCCGTCCGTTCCATGGCCACTTGCTCAAGTCTTTTCCATGGCATGGAGGAGGCCCTCCGCCCTATCCTGGAGGCTGGGGCGTCAGGCGCCCGCGAGATAGCCCGAACGGGCTTCCACGC